TTCTCTGGGCAAATGGAGAGCTCTAGTCATCTCTGGTCTGATGCAGCATTTCTTGAATCTGAATATATATTGGAATCACCTAGAGGCCTGTGAAAACAGGATTTCTGGTCCCATGCTCGTGGTTTCCAATTGATTATCTGGGCTGGGGCCTGAGAACAGGCATATCGGAGGCTTTCTCAAGTTATACTGAGACTTCTTCTCTGGGAACCACGCTCAGAGAGCTACTGAACTCCAAACACGAGAGTGAACCTTTCAATTTGGGAAGGAGAGAGCAAATTAGGAAGACCAGGATACCATGCCAAGATGTCATTTTTAGAAAGTCAGGAGACTTCCTCAAAGGCTAGAGAATATGCACTTCGGCCAAAGTTGGTTGATGAAACCAGCATATCAAATTTGTTTTTTTTTTTCATAATTTTATTGAGAAACAAATAGCAATAAGACAGTTTCAAATCAAATTGGTAGGACAGTTTCAATAATTAACACATTGCATACATTCTTTCTAGTGGTTAATTGCTGTACAAGATGCGGACATGATATCCTATTTACAAAAACCATTAAAACAAATCTCTCTATTCATTAAGAGAATGTAACTATATATCTATCCTAACCACTTTGAATACACAGATACAAAATGGACATTCATCTGTATACGGTTTTTTTTGTTAAGTTCCGTTATTTGAATATTATAGGTGTGTAAACTCAGCAAAATATTCTAAAAGAGTCCCGTAGCCCATAATAGTATTGGGTCTTCCACTTGACTGGCAGTGTCAGAAATTGTTGACCTGAGTCCCCTACAGCTCAACATAACAGCATGGCTTTACTTCTTATATTTCGTTTTTATACTTTTCTACTGGATGGTTAAGACCAAGATAAAGCAAGACCTATGCAACAAGAGTTGTAGCTTTTGGGTCTGATAAGGTCAGTGAGATCCCCTCAGGATTTATCCTGAGATCCTGTACCTCAGATTGTAGAACCTTTGTCAAATTTGTTATTTTTGTTAGTAATTTTTGACATATAAAGAATATCATAAATTCACATTTTATCTGATACTAACTCAGTACTCTGGTTAATAGTTATTTTTAATTCTATACTAATTTAAAAGAAATTAGAAGTAGTCTTTTAAACTGTCAAAATGTTTTAGGCAATGTGTTTTAGGATTATAGATTTGTATTTTTAAATGTAACTAGAGATAAATATTAGAACTATTTTAAAAGTAGAAATAAGACTAAATCTATTGTTATCATTTTAATATCTGAAATGACTTTCAGATGTCTTATGAAATATTTTAGAAGGTATAAAATGCATTTTTTTTGACATCAGTTCTTTTTATTTTAAAGAAAGAAAAAAAAATAAAAACAGTGGTACAAAATCTCAAAACAAGATTTTAGGAGAGTAACAATGGTTAGTACATTGTGTGTTGTTATTGCCAAAGTAGTTTCTCATTTTATAAGACATAGGCAAGAAATAATAAGCAAATAACATA